GGTACAACATCCACTCACGATAAAAACCCTCAGCAAAGTAGGTGTAGAGGGAACATACATCAACCTTAAAAATGCCACATATGACATGTCCACAGCTGAAATTATACTTAAGGGTGAAAAACTGAGAGCTTTTCCTCTAAGATCAGGAACAAGATAAGGATATCCACTCTTACAATTTTCTTTCTTTTTTCTTTTTCCTTACTCTTACCACTTTTATTCAACATAGCACTGGAAGTCTAGCCATAGCAATCAGGCAACAAAAAGAAATAAAAGGCATCTAAACAGGTAGGGGAGAAATAAAACTTTCACTCTTTGCAGATGACATGATACTATACATACAATACCCTAAAAACTCCACCAGAAAAGTACTAGAATAGATAAATAAGTTCAGTAAGGTCACAGGATACAAAAATCTGTATATTGAAATCTGTTGCATTTCTAATGCAACAGATTCACTACTACTACGCTACTTCACTAATGCTGAAGTAGCAGAATGAGAAATTAAGAAAACAATCCTATTTACCTTTGCACTCAGAATAATAAAATACTTAGGAATAAACTTAGCCAAGGAGGTAAAAGATCTGTACTCTGAAAACTATAAAGCACTGGTGAAAGAAATTAAAGATGACACAAAGACATTCCATGCTCACAGACTGGAAGAACAAATACTGTTAAAATGTCCATATTACCCAAAGCAATCTACACATTTAATGCAATCCCTATCAAAATACAAAATATTTTTCACAGAATGAGAACAAATAATCCTAAAATTTCTTTGGAACCACGCAAGACCCTAAATAGCCAAAGCTATCTTGAGTAATAAGAACAAAGCCAGAGAAAAACCAGTACCAGATTTCAAGATACACTACAAAGATGCAATAATCAAAACAGTATGGTACTGACACAAAAAAAGACACAGAGATCAATGGGACAGAATAGAGTCCAAAAATAAACCCATGCTTTTATGATCAACCCATCTATGCCAAAGGAGGCAAGAATATGCAATGGGAAAGATGGTCTCTTCAATAAATGGTGCTGAGAAAACTGGACCACTTTTTTACATTATACACAAAAATAAACTCAAAATGGATTAAAGACCAAAATGTGAGACCTGAAAAAATAAATTCCTAGAAGAAAACATGAGCAGTAATCCCTTTGACACTAGCTGGAGAAACGTTTTTCTAGATAGGTCTCTTGAGGTACGGGAAACAAAAGCAGAAATAAACTATTGGGACTACATCAAAATAAAAACCTTCTGCACAGCAAAGGAAACAATCAACAAAATGAAAAGACAACCTATGAATGGGAGAACACAATTACACATGGTATATCTGATGAGGAGTTAATATCCAAAAATATCTTAAGAACTGGTAGAACTCCACACCAAAAATCCAAATAATCCATTTAAAAAATGGGCAGAGGACTTGAATAGACATTTCTCCAAAGAAGACACTGGGATGACCAACAGACACACAGAAAGATGCTCAGCATCGCTCAGCATCAGGGAAATGCAGTTGAAAACCACAATGAAATACCACCTCACACCTGTGAGAATGGTTAAAATAAAGAACACAAGAAATAAGTGCTGATGAGGATGTGGAGAAAAAGAACCCTTGTGCACTGCTGGTGGAAATGCAAGCTGGTGAAGCCACTATGGAGAACAGAATGGAGGTTCTTCAAAATATCCAAAATCGAAATACCATATGATCCAACAACTCCACTGTTGGTGTTTACCCAATGAAAAACACTTTAATTTGAAAAGATATATGGCACCCCTATGTTCACTGCAGCATTATTTATAAAAGTAAAGATAAAGGGGGTAGGAGAAGAATAAATGAAACAAGATGGGATTGGGAGGGAGACAAACCATAAGTGACTCTTAATCTCACAAAACAAACTGAGGGCTGCTGGGGGGAGGGGGTTTGGGAGAAGGGGGGTGAGATTATGGACATTGGGGAGGGTATGTGCTATGGTGAGTGCTGTGAAGTGTGTAAACCTGACGATTCACAGACCTGTACCCCTGGGGATAAAATATATGTTTATAAAAAATTTAAAAAAAAAAGTGAAGATATGGAAGCAACCCAAATGTCTATCAATAGACGAACGGATAAACAAGTAGTATATATCCACAATGGACTATTACTCAGCCATAAAAAAGAATGCAATTTTGCCATTTGCAACAACATGGATGAGCCTAGGGTGTAATGTTGAGTGAAGCAGAGAAACACAGAGAAAGACTAATGCCATATATTTTCACTCATATGTGCAAATTAAGAAATAAAACAGATAAGCAAACAAAGGAAAAAAGAGACAAAAAACAGACTCTTAGATACAGAGAACAAACTGGTGGTTGCCAGAGAGGAGGTGAGTGGGGAATTGGGTGAAATAGATGAAGAGGATTAAGGAGTTGTTTGTGATGGACACTGAGTAATATACAGAAGTATTGCACATTGGGGTACAGATGTTCCTTCTTTTCACTACATCTGTATCTTTGGGGTAAATACCCAGTAGTGCAATTGCAGGGTCACAGGGTAGCTCTATTTTTAATTTTTTGAGGAATCCCACACTTTTTTCCAAAGTGGCTGTACCAATTTGCATTGCCACCAATGTTCATAGCAGCAATGTCCACAATAGGCAAACTGTGGAAAAAGCAGCAATGCCCTTCAACAGACGAATGGATAAAGAAGATGTGGTCCATATATATATATAAAATGGAATACTACTCAGCCATCAGAAAGGATGAATACCCAACTTTTGTATCAACATGGACAGGACTGGAGGAGATTATGCTGAGTGAAATAAGTCAAGCAGAGAGAGTCAATTATCATATGGTTTCACTTACTTGTGGAGCATAAGGAATAACACAGAGGACATTAGGAGAAGGAGAGAAGTGAGTTGGGGGAAATCAGAGGGGAAGACGAACCATGAAAGACTGTGGACTCTGAGAAACAAACTGAGGGTTTTAGAGGGGAGAGGGGTGGGGGGATAATGAGGCTGGTGGTGGGTACTGAGGAGGACACATATTGCATGGATCACTGGGTGTGGTGCATAAACAATGAATCTTGGAACACTGCATCAAAAACTAATCATATATTTTATGGTCACTAACATAGCACAATAAAAAAATAAAATGGTAAACTTTATTAAATGTATTTTACCACATGTAAAAAAAAATAATAAAGCAATATATTAAAAAATAAAAAAAAGTATTAAATCATTATACACCTGAAACAAATTTAACACTGTATGTCAATGACATTTGAACAACAACAAAACAAATCACATCGGGAGGGCCTCCCACCACCCTTCAGATCACATGCCCCCTGTTGAGACTGTGGTGCTCCTTTCATGTAGCCTTACTCATGCACTGCTGGGTGGTGGAGCTGGCTCCCTTGCGGGCCTGTCCAGCAGATGGGGAGAGCTGTGAGGGCAGTGGCTCTGCCTTATTCATACCATCCTACTCACAGGGAGTCAGTAAGTGTCCAATGCCTGACTCACGACACAAGCTGGAGCTAATGTCTCCTCGGTGCCTTCATAGCTGCATGCCCAGAGCATCCATGTCATTGTCCCCATATTCTCATACCCTCCCATTACCTCCCACATTATGTCTGTTCTTTCCCAGACCTCTTCCTTGAAACTGCAGAGCAAACACATTTAACCATCTCCTAAGACCAAATCCAACAGGTTATTTCCGGCCTTCATTTCTTTGTCTTCTTTCCAGCATTGGACTCTATGGGCAAACCATCTCTGCCTTCACTGCCCCAGCCACACTGTCTTTCGACTCAGTCTTCTGGCTTCTAGTCATCTGCTTACCCCTTAAATGACAGGGTTGTCAGCCCACCTCTGTCTTATTCCACACAGTCCCCCTGGGCATTCCTTTCCACTGATATGGCTTCGGCTACCACCACCATGCTGGGATCCCTACACCCATCCTGAGCTCAGATTATGTGTAATGCCCACAGTTACCTAAAGAGCAAACTTGACCAAAACTACCCCAGGATCTGCTCCTCTCCCTGTATTCACCTCTTGTGGAGAGCAGAGCCTCCACCCACCCATTCGGCCCAAACAGAAGTCTGAAGTCTTAATTTCCTCCCTTCAACTCCCCTTCACATGCAAGAGGCCTGTGGATTCCACCCCTGAACATCTCGGAATCTGCTGCTTCCTCTCCCTTCCCACTGCCCGTCACTTGCATCAGCTCCTCATCCTCTCCTTTCAGGGTGTGCACAAGTGCCACTGAAGGGGCCTCCCTCCATCACTCTCCAACCATCTATCTGTCACACCTGGCAGCCTGAGTACTGTTTCTACAACTCAAAACTGACCATGTTAATCCTCTGCTAAAAGCAACACCTTTCCCAAACTTCCAGGTGTACAATCAGGCCTCTGTCTACCTCCTCAAGCATGTCCCTTACCATGCCCTCCAGAGTCCCTATTTCCCTGGAGTTCCACTCGGCCGCACCTCTGTTCCTGCTGCTTTCGGCCTGGGATGACCGTCCCTTGTCAAAATGCAGCTTGAGGATTCCAATCTCTGTGAAGCTTTCCTAATGCCCCTGTCTGCACTGTACTCTGTACAGACCAGGCACAGAACTTTCACCCTTGACTAGACTTTGAGGCCATGGACGTAAGAGCCACGTTTTTCATCTTGGAGTTTTCAGAAACAGGCACAGTGCCTGACACATAGCACTTAATAAATGAAGCATTTATCAGTAATGCCACAGAGAGGTCTTGCATGACATTCTCAGGGTACACACCCTTGGACCTGGCAAGTTTAAGTAATGCCATAGCATTTGCACCCTTATGGGCAAGGCCGCATACCATTTCCCAGGGGACCAGGAGACTGGGACTCAGCATTGCTTCCTACTCTATGCAGAATAGAGCTGAGGCACAGAAGCCACTGGGAGAGGGCCTCCTAGATCACACCCATCAACCCCCCCACCCCCGCCTCCTCCGGCTAGAACCATCTTACACAAAAGTAGGATAGGGACCCTGGCAGAGAAACTTACCTTGGGCCCTAGAAGCTCCTTTGGGCATGTGGGTTGGACCTGTTCAGAGCTTTCCTTTCCACAGCACTGAAACTGGAGAGTCAGAAAAGAGTTTTTAGGGCAGAGGAAGGAGAAGTGGGAGCTACAAGTCTGGGCATCACTGCTGAGGACCAGGGGACTGAAGCAGCAAAGCAGCTATGGGGCCCAGTCAGAGCAACCCAAGCTGCCATTTCTAGAAAGATGGTGAAGAGTCACATAATCATGCTAGCAAAACAGGGAAAGGAATTCTGTCAAGTTTTCTGAGTTTCACGTTGGGAAGTGACTCAAGGCAACCCAAACAAAGCAAGAAGCCAATGGATGGTATCTGTGTAAATAGTTGTTTTTTAGACAGGTATTGGGTTTTTAGATTCTTTTTTTTTCAGCCTGGAGTAATTTAATCTACTGAGTGGCTGAAGTTTTATGAGCTTCAGGAAGGGCTCATTAGCTGGGGATAGTCTGGGACAGAGAGGAAAAGTGACCACAGCAAATAAACACTTGGGACTGAAAGGCCAGGGCCTGAAGGCTGGTCAGCAAACAGGTGTCCTGCTTTACAGCTGGCCCTTCAAGGACAAAGGAGAATGTGTGTGGCTTGATGTCTCGGGGGCAGCTGAGGCTGAGCAGGAGAAATGTTTGGTACTTCCAGGACAGTCCTGTGACGAACAAGAATGGGGCTACCTGAAAGCACCTGGCCCAGGAGTTCATAGCTACTTCTGCATATTGCAGGGAAAGGTTAAGACTCTGGCCTGGCCCATCTCCTCTGTACCTCCTCCTTGGCTGCCTGTGTGCAGCCCTCAGCACTGCACTGACAGCACAGTCCCACGGAATGCTCCAGGATAAAGGGAGCATGGCTGTCTCTGTGCCCTTTCATTTTACAAATGGGGAGCTGAGCGATTATTAGGGAGACAAGGAACATGCTTAAGTGGCAGGCCTGCAGCTAGAAATGAGCTTTTCTGACTTGAAGGTCATGGCTGTTTGTTATACCACTATGCCTGCCGCCTTTTGAGAGACCTTGGTATTTAATTGGGAGGCTTTCTGGGTGTTTTTATTTGTGCTCTTTTGTCTCCCTGGGGCACATTTCCTGACTTCCTTTTGCGAACCCTCTGTGCTAGGCCTCTTCCTCTTCTAGGTTCTACACAGAATGCCAACTGTGTCTCCTGAGAGGGCTGAAATACAGTGCTCCAGCTTCATTTCACTAAATTTATTCTGATCCAGGTGAAGAGAGAGAACCTGGCTAGTTAATGATCTTTAGAAGAGATGATTTCAAGGAAGAAGTAAAGTTACTTACTGTTGAGTGGAAGGTAACGAGAGTCCCATTTCCCCTTTCCCTGTCTTTCAGGTAATCATTATAAGCCTCTTCATACATGGTCTGAACATGTCGTATAGCCTAAAAAACCAAGGGGACAACGAGTGGGGAAATTTCAAACATTCTCCTTTCATCAAGAAAACCCCCCCATTCCTTATCCTTGGAAAATACAGCCTTGCCCTATGTTTATCTATATTTAAAGACAATGCTACATATATGGGAAAAATTACAGACTCTAGAGTTTCTCAGACACTTTCAGAGATGGAAGGATAGACTAACCAAGAACAGCTTTCATAGACTAGCAAATTTCTTAGAGCGGAGGTTCTCAAACCTAAATGGACATGGGCATCCATCAGCCCCTAGGCTCCTGAGCCCCTCAGGACATTATGACATACAACCAGAGTGGGGACTTACGTGTTCTTGGTACCCTATTTGTTAGAAGTACTCAAGTCTATCCATGACATGGTTTGAAAAATGTTCACGACCAAGGAAAACTGGTTCAGCATACAAATATCATGAAACTTAGAGAATGTTTTTTTCTGGTTATAACAGCATGTGATCTGATGTCCCTAATGATCTCAAAAAGTCCTAAAATCCAATTCCTCCAACCTATAGAAAGAACCGGTTACTTTAGAAATATTCTAAAGGAGGTGATATTTACTTATTCTACATGTTTACCATTTTTTAGAAAAATCCAAAGTTCATACACACAATACTGATAGCACATGAATTTATGGGAAATACAGTAAACTTAAGATTCCATTCTTCCTCCTTTTCATGCCCTTCTTTCCCACAGTGTTCCCTTCTAAAAAGGCTATTTCCTCTGTGGCCTCTGTGGGTTCTCTTGATAACGTTATTTTGGATACCTATAGTTTGAGGACCAATTTAAATAAACTGGCTTTCCTAGCACACAGCAAGTCAGACTTCAGACTTTGAGGATGATGTGGCCTCTTTTCAGGCCAAGCCCTATGGACAAATGATAATCTAACAAAGGGTAAAAATACATGTTCCTCTCCATCCCTCTTTCTCATGTGTGCAATCTATCTGCTTCCCTGTTACAAATGGGATCATCTTAAACTAGAGATCCTTTAAAAGAAATCATAGGCTCTTTTACAGATCTAATGAACTATCATCTTCTCAGAAAAATGTGTGCAAATAAATGTATGCATACTTACACATACAGTATGCACAGTTCTGCACAATACATGTAGGTTAAAAAGTTCTGTGTAAAGGATATCTGTGGGGATTATTTAGTTTTTCAGTATCATTGTGGGTGAAATATTCTCATAGCTTTTGCCATAAAAAAACACTTTAACCATCATAAAAAGAAATTGTAATTTCTACTTACTACACCCTTGCCTATAAAAGCAAATACTCCAGTGGTTACTTCAGCAGCAAATATCACCAGGAGGCAGGTGAAGAACTGTAGAGGAGAGAAAATAATCACTTCATTAACTCAATACCTTTTCAATTTATTTGGCCTCTTTACTGCTAGTTCCACTTGAAAAAAAAAACCCAAAACATTAGGCAAGATTATTAGTTTGAATTGATCTGGTAGGAAGCATCTACTGCCATTCCCCTGTAAGTTTTTTCATTCATTCATTTGCTCATTAATTCATTCAGCAATTGTTCATTAAATATCTACTCTGCACCAGGCACTGTCCTTGGCACTGGGTATACAGTGGTGATAAGATAGGATCCCCACATCTCTGCTATCGTGGACCTTCTATTAGAAAAAAGGGATGAATACTCGCCATTTACATCAACATGGACGGAACTGGAGGAGATTATGCTGAGTGAAATAAGTCAAGCAGAAAAAGACAATTACCATATTGTTCACTTATATGTGGAACATAAGCAATAGAGCAGAGGACCACAGGAGAAGGGAGGGCAAACGGAGAAGAAATCAGAGAGGGAGACAAACCATGAGAGACTCTGGACTCTGGGAACCAAAGTGAGGGGATGGGAGGATGGGGTAACGGTGATGGGTATTAAGGAGGGTACGTGTGGTGCTGAGAACAGGGTGTTACATGCAACTAATGAATCATGGACCACTACATCAAAAACTAATGATAGACTATATGGTGGCTAACTAAACATGATAATAAAAAAGAAAATGTGAAGTATGATAAATGAATAAGGCAATAAAAAAGTGAGTTAGATAATTTCAGGTAGTGATAAAGAAATCCCACCACTTACATCAGGGAAATACAAATCAAAACCACAGTGAGATGCCATCTCATGCCAGTCAGAATGGCTAAAATTAACAAGTCAGGAAATGAAAGATGTTGGTCAGGATGCGGAGAAAGGGGAACCCTCCTACACTGTTGGTGGGAATGCAAGCTGGTGCAGCTACTCTGGAAAACAGTATGGAGGATCCTCAAAAAGTTGAAAATAGAGCTACCCTATGACCCAGCAATTGCACTACTGGGTATTTACCCTAAAGATAAAAATGTAGTGATCTGAAGGGGCACATGCACCCAAATGTTTATAGCAGCAATGTCCACAATAGTCAAACTATGGAAAAAGCCCAGATGTCCTTTGACAGATGAATGGATAAAGAAGAGGTGAGATATATATATATACACACACACACACACACACACACAATGGGATACTATGCAGCCACCAAAAAACCCCCTAAATCCTGCCATTTGCAACAATGTGGATTGAACTAGAGAGTATTATGCTAAGAGAAATAAATTGGTCAGAGAAAGACAATTATCATATGATCTCTCTGATATGAGGAATTTGAGAGACAGGGCTGGGGTTCGTGAGGGGAAGGGAGGGAAAAATGAAACAAAATGGGACCAGGGAGGGAGACACACCATAAGAGACTCTTGGTCTCAGGAAACAAACTGAGGGTTGTTGTGGGTGTGGAGGAGGGAGAGGGTGGCTGAGTGATGGACACTGGGGAGGGTATGTGCTATGATGAGTGCTGTGAATTGTGTAGGACTGATGATTCACAGACCTGTACCCCTGGGGCAAATAATAGAATATATACGTTAACAAAAAATAATTAAATTTTAAAAAAAGAAGGAAAAAGAATTCTGTCACTTAGAACAGTGCCTGGCACCTAGGCAGTCAATGAATTCTTGATGAACGAAAGAGATTCCATAAAGATATAAAACAAGGCCAGGACATAGGAAGTGACTGGTGGGGTCTAGGCTTGGGGAAGGTGTGGTCCAGACTCTGTGGACTGTAACGCTTCTCTGGGGAGTGGGAGTGTTGGTGAGGGGCAGCCTCCTGGACAGATTTCTGTTCTGCTCTCTTGGGTCTGCTCTGTGTTCAGTGATAAATGACAGGGAGCTCAGCAACACGGGAAAGACAGGAAGAATGGAGGATGGAGGAGATGAGTTAGAGATTTTACCCTGCAAAAGATCAGAAGCAGAAGCCACAGTTAAAAATCAAAGATTGCAACAAGAAGGAGAGAATGCCCCTAAAATTGCTGTTTCTGATCCCTCATGGAGAAAGACAAAATCTTTCTCTCTTCCGGCCCCTCTTCCTTCTTGTTTCTCTAGGGTCACTCTGGCATTGGATGTAGAGCAATAACTGAAATTCATTCTTTTCTTTTCTTTCCTTCCTTTTTCTTTCTTTTTTCTTTTTTCTTTCTTTTTTTAAGACAGAGCCTGCTTATTAAAAGAAACCACAAGAGGGATGTTTGATGTTACTGATATCAAACAGCAATTCTTTTCTTATAGTTCACAACACTTCCCTACCTATAGGAACCTTGGCTGCCTCCCTCACTGTGAAATAATTTTGAAATAGCAATCATAATTACCCCTTACAATTATTAGGCACTTTTCCTCCCCAAACATCTTCATGCCAGTGACCTCATTTTTTTTTTTTCATATTTTCCATATGAGGCGGGGACAAAGACAATATTATTCTTAAGGGAAAAATGGAGAAACGGAGACTCAGGGAAGAGGGAGTGAGTGCCAAGGTCTCAGTAGGTCCAGGAGCTGATGCTGGAGGCCAGACCTGGGGGCCCCCTTCAGACCAGTTCCCTCCCCCCACGCCCTACTTACAGATCCAAGCACACACTGCGACTCCCGCATGGCTCCGCAGCACCCGAAGAAGCCCACGGCCATCATCAGGGCCCCTGCTCCAACCAGCACGTACAGCCCTGCGGGGAAGAGTCAGAGGAGCGGCTGACCCTCAGCCCGCTGGCTGCCCAGCAGCTCCAGGGGTCAGCTCCTAGTCGGGCTCTGTGGCGAGTCTTCCGCTGCTGCTAATGTGATGGGAGACACCTGTGGAAAGCACCTGCCAGAACCTGTGCAGGGATCCTGAGAGGCGGGGGCTCCGTTACCCCAGGGAACAGAGAAAGTTGGTACTTATCCAGGTGAAGGGACCTCCTCACCCTCACTTGAGCGGCAAGGATCGGAAAGCTCTTCTGTCTGATTCCCACAGCATATTTGCTCTTAACCACCTCCACACGTCCTCTCCCTGCACCCCCCCAACCATGCCAGGCACTTTACCTTTCAGGTCTCTACCACCCCTGTCAAGTGGTCATTACTTCATTTGCATGAAATTGAGGCAGTTGGGTCCAGGGGTGGTCAGGATCAGTGCCAGAGGCAGGGCACAAACCCACACCTCCCTAGGAGCCCCCTGGGCTCTCATGGCACTCGGGAATTCATGGCTGTCACCATCTATGATGGCCAGGAGGACAAAGTGTCTGGGAGGGCTGATGGGCTGCCCAGATGGGAGAACACGGACACAGCAGGGCAGAAGAGCAGAGAGGGGCTGGAGGACACAGCAATAAGGCCATAAATTTTGTGAGAATCACACACTTTAGAGGGCATCACCACGTACGCTGGGAACACGGGTAGTTGCAATGTTCTAAGAAAACATCCAAGAGAGGAGGTGACAAGGTAGCACACACCAAATACTGTTACTAATACAATATTAGCTCCATTTATGAAGGGCTTACTTTTTCCGGGCACGGCAACTGGCACAGATTTATTAATTTAATCTTCGTTAAGCAAAGCACATTATATCCATTTTCTAGAGAAACTAGGCCCCCAAAGGTTAAGCAATTTGCCCAAGTTCATAGAGCTGGGATAAAAATACCCATCTGCTTTTAAAGCCATGACATCACCACTACCCTAACCTGCCCCACCCGCCCAGCACCAACAGCAACCTCCATTTGGGTGCTAATTTCCCTTACTACTGAAGGCAAGCCATAGAAGCAATTGCTCACAGAGAAAGAAAAGGACAGAAATGTTCTTGTTCTGAGAGAAATAAAGCCAAGCCCTTTCGTATTTCCTTTTCTGATCCAGAGATAAGTTAGCACACAATGTGAGGCCTGGTGCTGGACTTGCTTAGAATAATGCTCATTGTCTCTATTTTAGTTTTTGCATTTTAGTCCTATGAGTCACCTGGAAACCCCTCCCATTCTCTGAAAGGGTGCGGAGCCAGCAGTCCGCTTCTGTGGAGGAGGCCTGAGTGCGCCCGCTGGGTGTCTCCGGGGGCCCCTCTGGGTGCTGCCGGTGGTTTGTGGGCAGATCTCTTGGGTCCCTGACAGAGACCAGGTGGCAGGCCAGGCTGCTGTTCTTCCTGTCTCCCCCAGGCTGTTGTCAGGGCCTCCGGGCTGGGGAAGCCCTGAGGCGTCTGCCGGCCTGGGGCAGGTGTTCCTCCCTCTCTCTCTCTCTCTCTCTCCTGCTCTGCCGGCTTGGCCCCTTCCTCCCCTTTCCCCTTCACTAAAAAAGGAATTTCGTGTGGAATGGATGTGGTCATGAGAGAAATGACACCGTATTAAAAACAGGCTAATGACTGTGAAGTGTGTAAACCTGGCGATTCACAGACCTGTATCCCTGGGGATAAAAATATATTATATGTTTATAACAAATAAAAAAAAAACGGGCTAATGTTGGCTCCGCTGCCTCAACAACTTATTGCTTCAAACACTTTCTTTTTCTAAGCTCTTTCATTTCCATCATCTCACTGGCTTCTCGAACAAGCCCATTAGATGAGGCAAGGGTTCTATTTCTGGTTTGTGAGTAGGGGTCGGGCCCAGAGACCCGACTCCTGTCCTGTGCTACCAGGCAGCAGTGGCACCACCTTATTTTGTCCCCTCACAAAGGGTCATACGCATGGGCTGACGTAGTATATTGATTTCCCTCTACAGATTCTGCTCCAAGTGACAGTCAAGGGCCTGGGCCCCTCTGGAGCCTTCTGTAGCCTGGGCTCCAGCCACAGGGGAATTCACCGGGACCGGACCCTGCCTGCTCTTTTCCATTTGGTGCTTTTGCAGGTTCTCGTATTTGTCTTTCTCTGTATCTGAAGTCTACCACCTAACCTTACTCACCCGGTCTAGAATATGCCCAGCACAAGACGGGATTCTTGATCAGCCTGGCTGCCTGCCACTGCCCATCTTTGCTGGGAAATACACGCTAGGAATACATCTCAACAGACCTCCACGAAGCCGCCACAGGACTGGGCTCTCTCAGGGTTGGGCAGATGAGTGTGTGGCCGCACTCCTGAGAAGGGGCTTCCGGGAGTCCAGAATGCAGGGAAGAGGGGGCTGCTCCTGGGGAGGCTGGGGTGCGGTGGACACAGGCACAGGGGCTGAGGAGGACAACATTGTACCCCACTGTAGACAAGCTCACTCAGCCCCTCCGGCAACAATCCTTGTCCTTCTAAAACAATGACACCCCCCACCTCCCTGCACCAAGAAAATGTGCTTATTTGTATAATAGGCCATTCTTAGGCTCTCGGAATCCTAGAGCTCAGAGCAAACACACCATGGGACTGACCCTGCAGCTCCAGTCCCTGAGGCTCTCCCCAGCAACCAAAAAGCCTTATCTGTAGTAACTCATTTTTAAATGGCTCCCCCGCTTTCTGGGACGGGGTAGTGGCGCGGTCATCCATTTCCGTGACTTTCTGGAGGCAGACGGTTTTACAGACCCGGCTAATGACCATTTTTCATCCAAGAATACTTTTTCTCTGCCTTGGTACCACTCTCCCTCCCTCCCAGCTGGCCCAGGCTGCACAAAATTACATCTGTATGTGGAGTGCGGGATGGGGCTTAGCTGATGGGGAAGGTAGAGACTTGAGCTCTACGAGAATAACAGCTTTGGTTATGGAGTACTGTTGTGTGGAGCTGAACACGGATAAGTCATGGAGTCATTCAGCCCTGGGGTGACAACTGCCACTTCCTGGCACCTCAGCCTTCTCTGTGCAGCAGCCACACTGTGCACCTGACGGGCACTGGCCCAGAAACCGGCCCCCACACCATCAACCCTTCTCTCCTTCTGACTGCATGGCCTCTAAACCACTCACTCCTTGGTCTTTCCTCCCCGTATCCTCGCGTGGAGTCATGCCTCCTCCCTCTACCGAGGAACACAGTAACCTCCCTACATAAAAATAATAAAGCCCACACAACAGGTCCTGGTTGTAAGTGTGCTCTTCTCCTGCCTCACCTGGCGCGATGGGGTCTGTGGCTTATTAGTAGTCACATCTCACAGCTGGGGAATCTGGGACACGAGAATGGAAGGCGTTTGCCAGAGGGATTTCCCAGCTCATGAGGGGCAAACCTGGAACCGAGCTAGGGAGTCTGCTGTAAAGTGCATGGTCTGACCCCGCTGGTGCAATTCCAGCGGGAATGCAGGACAAGAGGGACTCTCAGCTAAAAGCTGTTCACTTTGCAATTTATAAATGTCAGGAGGGTGAGGGCCTGGAGAGTCTCTAAGGGATGATGTCTGGGTCTTCCTCTGAAAATACAGGGCTGGGAGCTAGAAATCCAGGCCTATCAGCTGACCTTCCGGTATTGTTATCTACGATATGGAAAAAATAATCTCACTTGTAAAAACGCTTTGGAGAAACGGTCTCAACCAGGTAAGCTACAGCACCTCTCTTCTGAAGACACCATGACTCTTGGGGACAGCTGAAAACCAAGAATTAACAAAATATGATCGGAGTGAGTTGGAGTTTTGAAAAAAGCAAGCCAGCTCCTCAGTGTTCAGCCTTGGAACCCTTTCCTTTACACATAATGTTACACACAATCGAAACCAGGCTCCCTGACTCTGAATTCAACAGGGGGAAAAAGCTACGGGTCAGCCTGGGACCCTGGAGAGCCAAAGGGCTGCTGTCCGTGTGGGCAGCCCGCCTCTCTGTGGAAAAAACCTGCCAACGTCCTTGGCTCACAAACACGACTTCATGTGCCCCAGCATGAGTGCCCCATCCAGGCTTCTGAGGCCCGGAAGGCCAGTGCCCTGCTCAGCACTCCTGGAAAGGGCCCCCTGCGCTGTCTGTCCCTCTAGGAGGCCGCCGTGGAGAGGGACTGTAACAGGAGGTCTGAGGGGCAGGCTAGTGGAGTTTGCAAGCCAGGGAGCAGGGGAGCGTCCCCCTGGGGTTTGTGGAGAGAGACCATAGTGGAAAGAGGGCAGGAAACCCCAAGTTATCCCATCAGTTCCTCTCTTTAAGGTTCTCTGTTCTCCACGTTAGCACTCCAGGGACACGGATACCCTGCCCTAACCTCCACACCTTGGCCTGGACTCAGAGGACCTTGAGAAGGGCCGGCAGGGGGCAGCCCTCAGGGCTCAGGGCTCCGGTCTGGATCTCTCCACACTGTCCCCAGCTGTGATGTCAGGGTAGATCTTCAGCACAGGAAGGGAACCTCTCTCCATCACAAGGAAGAAGCAAGGATTCCAGACAGGAAAGCATCCTCCCCTCCAAGGACAGAGAGAAAGTTCTCCTACAAAGCCTGGAAGTCATCTGCCCAGAAAGAGGGAGCTAGGCCCTATATGTTCCTGAGGTCGCTCTCAGAGATGGGCCTCTAGGCTGTGAGGCTCTTTCTTTAAAAGCCACTTGAAAGTGCCCCTGCTTGTTCACCAACTCTCTTTAACAAAGGGGTGATAAGAGTTTCGTGGGCCGATTGCTCTGACACTAATTCTGAAAAGAAAACACCTAGCTTAGTGACCGCCACCCTGTGACATGAAGTGAGATTTTCCAAAACCTGTGCCTCCTTCTTTTTTAAAGTCCTATTACCTCACACCGTTTGCTCTGTAAGTCCGTAAATGGTGTCCTGGTGTATTTGTCTTCTCGTTTTATTGCCAGAGAGCAGGTATCTTTCCTATTTGGATAATTATTTATTGAAGAAAGAAGTACCGATTTCTGCAAACATGT